TACAATATGCCTCTTGAATAAAAGTTACTCCATTTATATAGTAGAAAAGTTTCATCCCTAGTACAGTTCTAAGAAAGGTAAAAATTTTCTTTTTTGTTAATCACTGATTTGCTGCCGATACGGGCCGAGATCTACGCCGTAATATCCGGCTGGGCGCGGATATCACGGTCCTTTGTTAGTCATGTGCAACCGTTTTGTTATGTTTTCCGAAGTCATGGGGCTTGTACCGGGTTCGGGGGGTGTTGTATCGAGCCCGGTGGAGAGCATTCCGTTCGGGCCTTAGTACGAGAAGTTCTCAACTTTGATTCTATATAGTTGTCTTTTACTTCGTTTGACCCACCGAAAAGTCGGGGTGCTCATTAGCCCCGGTTTTACCCGTAACACTCCCCATCTCCCACTCCTAGCAATAGTCACAACCCCATTACCACATCCTATATCAGGCTCCATCCCATAACCCCTCGGTTCGTTCTGCATGGCTACCGAAAACTGATAATTTCCCATATTATCCACCATAAACCCCCAGTAGTCGGCGCGTCTATGGTTGGCGGCAGCAGCAGTAGCAGGCAGAGCAATCACCGGAACTCTAACATCCTCCTCTATAGCCGCCCCATTTTAGTCAAGAAATCATCTAAAGTCATATATGGTTCCCTGCTACCTTCTCCCCCTCTATAATTTACCTCCACACCTCACCGACAGTCGTATTGGGTTACCACATCACTACCATCACCGGCAGCGACGACAGGGTAGGAGCGATCATGGTTTTGGGGGCGGAGCAAATAAAAGGGATAGGGGAATTAGAGTAAATATTATTGAGGAGTTCATCCTAGTTCATAGAACTGAATTTTCTAGAAGGATCAAAGTGAATTAGAGAAGGAATGAGTTGGGTTTGGGGGGGGGGGAGAGCGAGGGAAGGCGAGAATGAGAACGAGAAAGATATCAATCCAAATTGGGAATTGTTAACACTGATGGCATCTCTTTTGACGCCATAATAGGCGGCCTTCTACAGATCATGTTTGTCTTTTTTCTTCCGTTTTTCTTTGTCCTTTTTCCTCAACTCTTATTTTAAAAAGGAAAAAAGTCTAAAATTGCCCCTCTACTATGGTATATAGTTTAAGTTTGTCCTCCGTTATACTTTTCGTTTAAATCCATCCCTATCATTAACAAACTTTCTAGAATTGCCCTTAACCCTAACAGATCTACACCGTGGCATCCAATCCCTCTATTAATTTGTCCACATCAGCTGCCATATCAACAGGTCCCATATTAAAATTAACCTCATCATCACAGACCAGACTCCATGACCTTCATTTTCCTCTTTCAATCCAAAACAAATTCACCATTAAAGTAACATCCATTTCCAATCACCAAAGAATATCATCCGTTTCTCGCTCTCCAGAATATAAAGATTACCCTCATTGGTCCATGAGTTTTTATCCATTAGCCATTTCCCCCACTTTGAGATATGAAAAAAAAAATTATTTTAAAATTTCAGGAATCTTCTCCATCCCATATTTTTTCTTTCTCCTCAAACCCACTCTACACGCTACACCTCGCCGGAAAACTCCCATGAACAGAAAAGGTTTAATGGTGATAAAGTAAATATGAAGAAAGTGTGTTTTGTTATGAGTTTACTGTCGATTTATGTAGATTAAGAAGAAAGAGGCTGACGATGGAAAGGGAGAGAAAGTCAGGGGTTCGGATAAGTGGGGGTGGTAAAGGAGGAGAGATAAATGGGTACATGAGATTAGAGATGAGTAGCGTGAAGTGGCAGGAAGGGAGGGGGTCGAGTGACTTGGCAGCTGACATGGAAAAAATTGAGGGAGTCAGCTGCCACGGTGTAGATCTGTTAGGGTTAAGGGCAATTCTAGAAAGTTTGTTAACATTAGGGATGGATCTGAACGAAAAGTATAACGGGGGACAAACTTAAAGTATATACCATAGTAGAGGGGCAATTTTGGACCTCTTCCCTTTTAAAAAAGGAAAATACTCGATTAACTGAATTTTGGGGATTATAGTTTTAGAGACGATTAAAGAAAATTTTGGATTTTTTTTATAGTATGGTAATTTTTTCTTAAACTCTGCTTTAAAATATCATGTTTAACTGGTTTAACTGTTGTAAGTAATTGATTTACCTAGTCTTAAAGATTAAGTATCATTACAATGCTTAAGACGGGATTTTGGGTCGTGATAACTAGGGAAACCTTCCATGCTTGCCACGTGCTGATTATGAATTCCTTCCGTGCTTTCCAAGTGCTGATTATGAATTCCTTCTGTGCTTTCCACGTGTCTGATCAAAGAGTTTTTGGTCGGTGTATTTATTACCATTACTAACGATGTGTGATGTTGGCTAGTGTTTTAAAAGGCGTGGGCGTAAGGCGGAGCATTTTACATATGCCTCAGCGGGGCGTAAGCCCCATAAGTATTTAATTTTTAATATTTTATAAAATAATATAATGACAGTTAATATTTATAAACAGGTAAAATTGCATAAAAATTGAAGAAAACTATATATATGTGTGCTCCATCCCCACAAAACAATAATCATAACAATCTATTATACGTTACTTACAAGCACAAGTAATTTGAGTCTAGAAGAATAAAGTTTTCTATATGGAGGAACAAAAAGGATGATTAACCTGCAATTTAAACTTTGAATTTGCTGCTATGAAGAAAAATGTAGTTCTCTTTGTATTTGTAAAATAAATTAAATATTCGTTGCTTTTGGGAGATATTAGCACACTAGCGGACAAGATAAAAAATTAAAAAAATCATGAATTAGAGCTTAAATCAATAAAAAAGGTTTTTAATTTTAAATTTAATACTTTTGAGTTCTTTTTTAAACCTTTTGAGTAATTACCAAACTGACTTTTGAGAATTTGGGTATTATATGAAGGACTAATTCAACAAATTTTGTTTTAATTTGAAAAAGTCTCTGAGGCTTACTCCTTACTAAAAAAATGCGCCCGGAACGCCCGGGTGTACGCCCCGAACGCCAGGACGTACGCCTCAAATTGTGGGGCGTACGCCTCTTGAGACTTTCGTCCCACACCATCGCCCCGGGGCGTTTTTGGTCCGGGACTCGCCCCAAAAACGCCTTTTAAAATAGAGATGTTGGCTTAGCCATGTATCAACAATGTGTCAAAAAGGTTTGAAGCATGCGCTTCCCAATGTAGAAAATTAGGATCGATCAGTGATTCAGTTGATACGAAACCTTTTCAACATCTACCCGATGGTAATGGCATTGACATCTATTTAAATATTGACTTTATGCTACTCAGCATCAGTTTTTAGAAGTCGAGAGAGGAAGAAGAATATAGTGGAAATATATCAATTTGTAAAGTTCAATATCGATCATTGGAGTTGTTTTAGGGTTAATTTTACCATGGTCATCCAACTTATCATTTATTTCACAAAAATTACTTATCTATTTATCATCACTTAAAAGTCACTCAACTTTACCTTTGTAATTTAAAAGTCATTCTAGTTCAAAACCTATAAAATATCTAATAAAAAATATGACATGGCATTACATTTAATTAAAAAATATAACAATAATGTCACATAAGCTTAAATAGACCATATCTAAGTTAGACTCATTTCTTCCTCAGTCCGATTTCAGGCAGTTTTTTGAATATTAGTTTTAATATTTTTTTAATGAAAAATTCTTAAAAAATAAATTTTGCGGGATTCTAAAATAGTTTTTCGCATTTTTGCGCCAAAAAAACCAACTGAAGTCGGTCGGTTTCGTAAAAAAAAAAAATTTTTAAAAAAATATTTTGGAAAACCGACCGACTTCAATCTCACATAACATATAAATGTGCCACTAACAAACAATAATAACAAGCTAATAAAAACTTATTTTCACAAATTACTATTCCATTAAAGTCAAAATATTGGTAAGAAATATCCACAATGAAATTACATAGTAGAAATTCACTACTAAAAATTCGGCCAAAACCGTATATATGCGGGAAACTATTTTAGAATTCCGAAAAATTTATTTTTTAAGAATTTTTCATATAAAAAAAAATTAATACTAATATTCAAAAAACTGCCCGAAATCGGACTGAGGAAGAAATGAGTCTAACTTAGATATAGTCTATTTAAGCTTATGTGGTATTATTGTTAGATTTTTTAATTAAATGTAATGCCATGCATGTCATATTTTTTATTGAATATTTTATAAGTTTTGAACTAGAATGACTTTTAAGTTAGTGACATTTTAGTGATGAAAAATAGATAAGTGACTTTTGTGAAATAAATGATATGTTGGATGACCTTCAGTGAAATTACCCCAGTTATTTTATGCTTTAGATAGAGTTATTTTTATCCAAATATTTTTCGTACGAAAGGAGTAATTAAATGCTAATAGTCTTTTAATTTAAATACTAATTAAACTCTAATAGTAAGAATTTAAAATAGTTATTTTTCAATTTCACAAAGCTGACTAGGAATTTTCAATTATGTACTCAGAAACTTACATTTGAAGTGGCCCCAGATGCTAACTAAATTATATATCACTTTGGACCAGCTCAATCCAGGAAGTTCAGAGGGTAGGAGGTATGGAGAAAGGAAAAATAAAATTTAGATTAGATATCTTAAATACTCAACTAGTCTTTTAAAACGTCAACCAACTCTTTCCCTACTTGCTCTATAACGTGTTGACCAGGAAAAAATATTGAAGCTAGTACTGTACGGTCAACAAAGGAATAAGTAAAGTTTTAAAATCGGTAAAATTTCCTCATTACAAAGCTACTTTTTATTATATTAAAACTAGTTAACTCACTCGATATAATCTTTTTTTAATGGCAAGAAATCAGGTTGTGCTCCAAAGAAATCTTCTCAATTGGAAGAGTAGTTGACACACCTTTTTTTCGGAAAAAATATGTAGTGTATGTCCTATTGCGTCGTCTTCCTTCTTAAAAATATTATTCACAAATAATAGTAATAACGGTTGTAAATAATATTTAGTATTAACTTTATGTCTCTATGTCCTATTGCATCGTCTTCCTGCTTAATTATTATTCACAAATAATAGTAATAATTGTTGTAAATAATATGTAGTATTACTTTATGTCTCCTTTGGGATTTTAAAATAAGTGGGGAAAAGAGGTTGATACATTCAATCAATTTCGTAATGATATTAGTAATCGCGAACTTTGAAATTTTCCAAACAAAATGAGAATGAAGAAATGAAAATATAACTTTTATAACCTTGTATACTTTATAGTCGTCTCGATAAGTCTCGTGAAAGCACCAAAACTTAACCGCAAATAGCTCAATCTTTCCATTCTTCGCTTCACTTTTCATAGATCCAAAATTGATCTCTTTCTTTCTCGAGTTAGATCAATATATTCACCCAATAAACTGCAACTGCATTCGAAACATCATTATGCATGAGTAATATATAGTACATGTTTCTAAACATCCTGAATCTGAATAGTTCATGACTCATGAATGTACATGCTTGTGAATTGAAATATATATAGAGGGAGAAGGCAGAGAAAGAATGGAGTGTTTACCTATGTCACTGTATGGCAGAGAGGAAGACGACAGTTGAAAATGGCTTTAGAGTTTATGTTTTTATTTTGTCGATGTCAAAACCCGCTACATCATATGATTCAAAATAATAGAATGAGAAATCTCATTAAACCCTCAATTGAGGATTAGAATGTATATGGAGCATAAATACAACAAATACAGAAAAATTGGAAGAAAGAACAGAACCTTTCAGCAAAATGATCATAGCCCTCCTACTTTACTTTGATTCTCCTTGCTTAGACCAAACATTAGATCCATTGTAAAGAGTAATTCTTTTTAATAACAAAAAGTTAATTAAAGTGCTCTCAATTATACTACAAAGAATATAGTTATATTTCAATTATGGACTATGGAGTTAAAGATACACAAAGGTGCATGCACAGAGAGAGGAGTCATGAAAGAGAAATCAGTGATGGGGACCAACACCAAAGGAGTGCCTTTAACTTTTGTCGTGACGACGGTTGGACTTTCTGGTGGATAGCAAAAGGGCTGTGTTTATTTTTTTCCTTTGATAGAGATTTCGGAGATCCTTATTGAATGAAGAGGATGATAGGAATACACACCTGTTGAGTAAAACCTTTTGAGGAATTAGTAACGGTAAAATTATATTTATTGGATCATTATGATGTATTAAGTGCTTTTAATTTAAAAAATGGGAAGAATGATAGATTTATGGGAAGATATACTACATTCTGACCAAGAGAAAAAGATATTACATAGGAGTGGAACATGAACAGACATGTTCATGTCTCTTCATGTTTTATTTTATTCAGTGTCTTTCCCTTTAATTGTCATTGTATTTACGACACTTTAAACTTTTTAAAAGTCAAATCAACAGAGGATTTAAGAGAAAAAGCCCAAAAATATGGAAGATATATAATTTTTCTAGTCAACATATATATTAATTATTAACAATTGCTCAGTTTACACAATAAGTGTATGTGTTTCATTACCTGTTGAAAGAGTTCAACTATCAAAAATGGATGACTTAGCACTGTTCTGGTCTTCGTTATCCTACCATTAGCAGCATCAACCTGCATATGTAGGCAGAGAAGATTGTGTAAGGTTAACATTAAAAGAATAAAAGTGTAAATTTTCCTTCCGTGTTTCAAGAGCCTATGGTCACAATATTTTTTTGTGATTATGTTTGGCCAAGAACCATGTCAGACAAATTCGTCATTCTCTAACTATTTGGCCTCAAATATATTATGAATATTGAATATACCAACAGTAAAAATAGTGCAGGAAAATGACAACACATTGTTCAACCAATTAATATGTCTGTTAAAAGACTATTCTGTGATGCAACCTATTAAAGACAACACAACGTTTGTCTGTGAAAAATGCTTCCTGAAGTTCTAGTTGATTGAAATTTTAAAATAGAGAGGGGAGGCATAGACAGAGTAAACCTGGTATTGTCTATCCTGAAATAAACTTCAAATAGTTACTTGTTCTTGTTGAATGTTTCCTTCATCTAGATGGAATTTACCTGTATACATATATGGATTGTTTAGATTTATAGCAATTCACTTATACCAAAATACCAATCACATATTTGTTTTTACTCTTATTGAGGAATTGACACTCTAACATTTTAGAATTTTAGGTGAAGTCATTTAGCAGAAAAAAACAAAAGAATATATCTTTATATGATAAAGTGAAGAAGTAAATTGATCATTCAACACAAAGATAATCAATAGTATGCCAACAATTTATAGAGATAATCAACAGTATACCAGCAATTTATAGAAGATGCGTTACAAAGAGTTGAAGTAATGTATCTTAATGTTTTTCAATTAGGAAAAATAAACCAAAAAAGCATTATACAGAGCATGCGGGAGAGCAAAATGTTGAATCTGATGCCATATTTGCTGAAGGAGGACAAAGAAAGATTGAATTGGGTCTGGGTGAAAAGATGGGGGTTAAAGAGGAAGGGCAATTAATTAATGAAATTAAAGTGCAAAGACATGACTTTTCAGTTTCAATTTTATTGGTCCAAAGGCGTGACTTTCAGAGCACATAATTTGGAAAGTAAATTGAAAAATATCAAGGAAAATGCAAAAAAACTGAGAAAAAAGATAAACCCAATTCTTGGTTAGTGAATAGTGGGACATCACTTCCCAATGTCCCTCAATTCTTTTTATATATATATATATTGTTGGGATTTTAAGCTTGTGTAACTTAAAGAGCGTGAATGAGAAATAAAGGGAAAAATAAAATATTTGAGTTTCCCTCCTTGGCAAAGGGACATTGTCCCATATTGGAGGAAGAAAAGGTTTTTGATGAGTATATATATAATTGCTCTTCTTCTAACTCTTAAAGAGTTAAGAAGAAGGCAAGCCTCGCGCCGTCGTCGCTCGCTCGGCTTCGGATTTGGTCCGGTCAGACCCGTTTTCTTTTCCGGATTAACAACCCTGTTCCAACAGCTATGGATGTTTCTGAAAGATTGCAAACCTTTTCAAAAACAATGCCAGCAACTCTATAAATAGAGTTTGAATCCCAGAATCTTTCCTTACGAAATTTTCTGAGCTGCTTCTTCTTCTTCTTCTGCACAAAAAAATCCAGTATATTTTACAGTCTTCGAGTGGCTCGCTGTTCACCGGCGTTTGGTACCAACACTCCGGTGAGTTAAATCGTTCTATCCTGAGAGGATATATTCTAGCACATCGGGNTATATATAAAACTAAACTTTACACAATACCATAAAATAACTACTCTCTACGATTCAAAAAAATTATCTTAGTTTAACTTGATACAAACTTTATTAAAGAGTGAAAGACTTTTGAGATATGTGGTCTTAAATAATTCATATCATTTGTGTGATTGTAAAACTTTTAAAATTTGTGGTCTGAAACTTGCGATCGCATTTGTGTGACTATAAATACTTCATATTAAGAAAATATTAAAAAATATCAATCTTTTTGGATCAGACTAATAAGAAAATAGTGCCAATCTTTTTGAAATAGAGAGTAAAACTTACCGATTAAAATAACAAAATCTATTGATCAATATGACTTACGGTTGAAATGGGTACTATTTTATTACTTTATACTATAATGATAAAAGTTTAACTTTTATATTCTAGTAGGCCAAGTTCAAGTAATTAATTTTTAAAAAAAGTAATTTATTGTTATAGTAAGTAAAGATCTACGGGTATACATGATATTAACCCCAAGGATAAGTTTGTCGTATGATAATAAAACCAAAATATTTATCATAAACCAATCAGGCAATACCAATCCAAGATTTTCCGGAAACTAAAACAAATATTGTTTTTCAAAATATTTTTCTTTAAAAAATAATTCGAACACTCATCTTATTCCAAAATTATTCTTTTAAAATTTTTGCAAAACTTATTTTCCAAAATATAACCAAAATGAAATCCAAGAGCCGCACAATCATAAGTCGCTACTTGTAAATTGTAATGTTTAAAGGGTACATACTGTTTAGAAAATTAGGGTGGTCAAAGATGTGAATCATTGAAAGTTGGTACAACGAAATTGGATATCTCTATATTTTTATTTATCCTACAAAAGAGTATTGACCACACAAGTGAAATTTTAAAAAAGAAAAAAAAGAAGAGAATATTAAAGAGAGAGCGCTGATGGCTAATGTGCTTGTGGAAATATGATAACAAAATTGTATATACAGAAGGTACTCGTTCTGTTTCAATTCATGTGACACACTTTACTTATTAATTTGTTCAAAAAATTTATATGCCATATTTGAAAATTTTTTTACTTTAAACTTTTTATTTGTTTATTTTTCCTTAAAATTTGACACAACTCAAAGTAATTATGAGTAACCAAATCCGAAAAAAAATTAGATCATCAATCATCTTTTGCGACTTGCAATCACTTGCGTATGGTACAATTAACAAATGATAGTAGTAGAGAAAGAAATGTTCTTATTTAGCGTATGAACATTGGCCTTCAAAAACCTGAGCCTCCTCAAGGCTCAACATACGCACTCTAATCCTGATCATTGACTTCTTATATATTCTTATCTCTAGATAATTAAATCTCCATCTCCGGATTATTGAAGTGGAATTCATGTATTATTTTTCATACGTAACAGACTACCGGAAAAGTTTATTTGAAACTTGCATAAAGTAAGAACTAAATACTAGCACCGTTTTGAAAAGACACCTAATCATAAGTCCCAACTTGCCAATATTTAAAAGGAATCCGTCCCAGCAGTTGCCACCCACGTTTATGAAGAAGCCAAAGAAGACTATTTCAACTGACACTAAAGCAATGGAAGGTCATTGTGTGGGCTTTGGTCAATGCCTAAACCTTATAAATAGGCCAATGCTACACATCTTAGTTCTATCCAACTATCTTCACTTCCATTTCTCTCTTCATTTTCTTAAAAGATACCACTGAATAAATAATTCAGATATATAGAATAGTTTATCAAACCAGTATGTCAAGAATCCTGCACAAGATCGAGGAGAAGTTCCATATACACCACAAACATGGAGATGATCCAGCTCAAGACAAGCCAGAAGAAATCCATGAGAATGATGAAAGCAAGGCACAAAAGAAAGGAGAACATGATAAGAAGAATTTGATGAAAAAGGTTGCTGGGAAAATAGGGCAAAAGTTATTACATGGTCATCCTAAGAAGCAGCATGAAGAAGGCTATGAAGGAGAAGAGGAGGAGGAAGGAGAAGAAGTAGAAGTAGAAGAAGCGGAAGAAGGTGGGTTTGAATTTGAACTCAACTTTGATTTTTGATTAAGCTTTATGTATCACTCTAGTTGTGTTTTGGTATTTCTCTTTATTGGTTCAAGAATACATATGTTTTGAGAATATCTCTGAATATGTGGTTTGGAATATGTAACCTGTGGTACCATATATATTAGCGTCTTCTGGTTTTTTATACATGTAACTGTGTAGCTTCTCGTGTACAAGAAACATATAAACCACTTCATTATATTGACAGAGGTGAAACATTAACCTAAAGCGACTGCATCGCATAACCATATTAACTATATAATTTCTGATGCGACTATTTTAGATGATCCATCATACATTTCGGGATGTGAAAAATGCATAATTTAAGATATAAATTATCAGAGAAGATAAATTTGAGCATAAGAGTTAATGGTGTTCGCCAATGATGCCTACGTCCTCGGAATAGACTACTACTACTTAAAAATCCCAAAAGCACATAATGCAGAAAAACACAAGCCTTGATTATATTAATTATTTGGGGGTAAAATTGGTTTATAACAAATGGTCGAATGGTAACATGATACGTGGAATCGAAGATAAGTAAAGGGCAAGTCAGTGAATAACCAATTCCGAATACAACGAATGTAATCGATATCGAATAAATCATGAAGGGAGCGTAGGCGACGGGAGAAGATCAAAAGTTTGTCATCGGATATAATTCAATGAGGGAATATTTACTAACATTAAATGAGCGACCGTTGCAAAGAATATTTGCATTCATAGTCTGCCGTTACGCATTCATCAATGACTCTTTTATTATCATTTAAGAGGAGCTTGATCTTAGAATCTTGTTTACTTAGGTAAAGCTATAAATAGCAGGCTCAACAGCCATTGTAAGGACGCGAAACTTTCTGCATACAAAAGTTATATCTTATTACTTCTGCTCTCAATTAAATAATTTTATTTGCATTTTATTGTTACTTTCATTTTTG